ACAATCAAACACCGGAATAAAAACTCCATTTTCGAAAGCGTGAAAAACATAAAATACTGAAAAAAAATCTGACAGTGGACGCGAAAGGCCCCTGCAACCGAGCGCCACACCTCAGCGCCTCACGCTGCCTGGACAAGTGAAAGGCATGAGCCGGGGAGAGCCAGACCACGTCTGCGGGTTGGAAGACGCGGGTCGGTAAGACGGATTCTGCCTGAACTCGGTTGTAGATACAATGCGGTCTCAGCCCAACCGTGCAGGCTCTTTCGTCTTCCTTAAATGTGTGCTGGATTTCCTCTCCCAGGAGAGGCAAACTAACCTGTAGGGTGAGAAAAGAGGTCGGAGGTACCTCTTGAGCCGGGAAGGGGCACGCGGAGTCTTTCACGGGTGACGGCTGTACGCAGGGTCGCCTGACTGCGGCGACCGCCTCAGGTGCGTGTTTATGTCCAACGCACGGCCTGGACCCTAGGCAGGCTCGGTGTGTGCATAGGAGCTACACCTCAGTAAAGCCGTTTTAAAATATTTTGAGTTGCAGCTATTAGATGAAATTTTGTTCTGAATTTTCCAGAGCAGAAATCGGGAGTGTCTCACAAACCCGTAGCCGTAATTTATAAGAGGAACACGACATGCTAAAATTATTTTGGCAGTTAGAGATTTATATCTATTAAAATTTATATCTAATAAAAATATATTCAAGGCAAAACTGTAATGACGGTAAAAGAACGCCAGTGATTGCGGTGGTCTTGACGGAGGGCTGAGTGGGCCGAGGGAGTGGGAGTCCGGGGCCTTCGCGCTGACTCACAGAACTTCACACGCTTGAGGCTTCTACGCAAGAGGAAAACCGAGTGCGGACGTCGGGGATCCCAGGGCGCGTGCGTGAGCGTGACAGGCCATCCAACTGTGTTGCACATACATGAAGTGACTTCCCTAGGGGCTGGGGGGGCACGGGGCGCTGTCCTTGGGGGCTCTGCAAGGGACCCGATACCACCCGGAATATCTGATTTCCTGTCACTCATACCGGCTTTCTCCCAAGAGCCGCCGTCAGCCCTCTGCGAAACATGGCCCACGGCTCCGTCGCTCTGCAGACACAGTAGGCTCAGGGCAGAGACGGTCCTGGGATCCACCGCCGCTCTCTGGCTCGAGAGCTCACGGTGATGGTTCACCCTCCCCGACCCTTGGTTTCCTCACCTCTAGGATGGAGTGATGTGGGCCCGAGCCTCCCAGAACCGTGCGGGCTTCGATGAGCTGTGGCAGCTCAGCACCCGGCCACTGCCTGTAGATGACAGGCATTGCGACGCGTGAGCTCTGAGGTACGGAGGGCGTACCCCATCAGCCCGGAGATGTCATTTCTTTAGCGCTCATTTAGCCACAGACCCGTTTGCCCACCTACCAGCCACCCATCCCCACGCCCATCTCTTCACCTGCCCACATCCATCCATCCATCCATCCAACCATTCAGTCGTCCGTCTGTCCACCGGTCCACCCGTCCGTCCGTCCACTCTTCATCCACCCACCCCCATCCGCCCTATTCCCTCTTTCCCCCCTTCCTCCCTTTACCACCACTCGGCCCCTCAGAAGCAAAAATCACTGAGCACACCCAGATGGCCCACTGAGGAGGCCACATAGGCAGCTACCCTCAAGGCACTTAGAGCAAAAAGGCCAGCAGTGGGACACATTCTGGCCGGTGTGGTGAGGACAATAGTCAGGACAAGGGCATGACACTTGGACCAGATCTCGAGGTGGGGGTGATTGCCCAAAGGCGGCTGTGGGGCCTGGGCTTGCGCACCCCAGATCTTTCAGAATCTTTGAAGCTGCGCGTAGTGGGCACATGGTGGGGTCTGAGTTCCCCCTTCTGATGTCTTGGGGAGGACACGGGCGGACATGGGCGCGGCTGGCACGCTGTTTCCTGCTCTTGGGTCCTCAGACGCTCATGTGCCAGGGGCTCTGTCCCCGTGGCTGGCTGGGGCTGGGGTTTCCCTGGGTGTCCATGGGATGAGAACCCAGGATGTCTCTGGGCGCACTCTCCATCTGCCTGACCGGGCTCGGCCAGAGCTGTGGAGCTGGGCTTGGGCGTAGGGTCTGAGAAGGGCCCATGTACGTATATGTGAGAGAGAGGGAGAGACAGATTTGAAGGAATTGTGGGGGGCTGCAGGCTGGACATCGGGGAAGAGCTGATGTTGCTGCTTCAGACCAAAGGCCACCTGGAAGCAGAACTCTTTCCTCCTGTGGGACCCTCTGTCTTTTCCCTCCGACAGCCTTCAACTGCTTGGGTGCGGCCCACCCACACAATGAAGGGTGATCCATTCGCATGGCAGCATCTAGACTGGCGTTTCAACGATACCACGGCCTAGCCCTGTTGACACGCAAAATTAACCTTCACACCAGGTGACTCAAAACGGGGTGTTGGTGGGCTGGGGACACACCTGCTATCTGCAGGTCTCTCCGGCAGGTGTGAGGCTCCCTCTTCTCTCCACAGCCTTCCTTCCTTCTTCCTCCCCTCCCCCACAGCCCCCCTTCCTGATGAGTCAGGTTTGTGGACAGAAAGCAGTGGGACAGTCACTTGAGGCTGTTTTGTGACGTCTTTGTGGTCTCCCTGTGGTGAGGTCATGCAAGCCTCAGGGACGGTGTCTTGTCAGGGTAAACACTGCTGGGCGTGGGGCCTCGCAGGGAGGCTCAGGGCGTCCTGGCCCCGTGCTGGGGGTCCACCTGTTGGGGACGGGCAGTCAGTGTCTCCTCGACGACCTCCCACTGCCGCTGGGCCGGGCTGTGTCCCCCCTGGGCCCTGGGGAGAGCGCCTCCAGCTGCAGACAGGACACTTCCAGGGGCACGTCTGTCCCCGTGGTAGAGGTGGTGGGGGTTTGTGTCACAGCGTACCAGGCGCCCGGGGCCCGATATGGGCATCTCCGTCCCGTACGCAGCACAGCCTGCGTCCCACCGACTCACCTGTGAGCCGCCCCACGGCCACAGTGAGGCAACCCAGCCGGCCCCCGAGCAGGGCTCTGAGGGTCGCGCTGAGCGTGGGAAGCTGACCCAGAGTCTGCTGGGGGCAGTGGGGTGGCGCTGGTCACCCCGGCCTGATGCATTCACCACCTGCTTCTGCAGGCTCCTTCCCCCTACATGCTCTGAGCCTCTGTCCCGTGCCTGGTGGCCTGATGTCACTGCTGCTCAGGGTGCCACCCGAGACCCCACAGCAGGACCAGGAGGATTTGGCTCAGACCTCTGGGCCTCAGGTCAGCGTAGCTGCCCCACACATAGGACACATAGGGCTGCCCTTCTCAGACCCCAGTAGTGGACTCCCAGCTTCTCAATCTTAGGGGAGGACCCCACCTTCTCAGTCCCTGTAGAGGACTCCACATCCCCATCTCAGTAGAGGACCCCAACTTCTCAGTCTCAGGGAAGGACCCCAGGTTCTCAATCCCAGGGGAAGACCCCACTTTCAGTCCCAGGGGAGGACCCACCTTCTCTGTCCCAGGGGAGGACCCCACATTCTCAATCCCAGGGGAGGACTCCTGCCTCTAATGCTCAGTGCAGGAGGGCCTGAGCCGGGTGACCATTGTGGGGCCAGGATTTTCTCTGAAGCCCACCAGGGCAGAGGAAGCCTGTCATGGAAAATCGCGGTCCCTGTCCTTGGGTTTCCCCAGGGCTCGGTGCCAGCCTGTCTGGCCCCACAGGGAAGTGGATAGTGGGCTGGCGGGCCCATCTGGCTCTGGTTTCCTAATCCCTGTTGCTCCTGGCTCAGACCACACGCTCGTGCCCGGGTCCCTGGGTTCCTGAATGAGGACAGTTTCCAGGCCTGCAGCTGGCGTCAGACTGAGATGGGAGAAGGGGCTTCATTGCAGGCCCCCTGGGAGGGGCAGGCTCCCTGCCCTTGGCTCCCGGTTACCCTGTCCGACCCTGGACCCTCGATGGGACCCCCCAGAAGTCGTCAGGTGGTGTGAGCAGCATCTCGTCCTTAGATGCTGTCACTGTGGCGTGGAGGTCCTGTCTGCAGGGGAAGGGCCACCGGGAGGTGAGACGGTAGGGCACGGTGCTGACTGGGTTCGGGTGCCCCTCAGAGGGGAGCCTGGGTCAGGGAGACAGGGTGTCCCACGCACCCACCTGCGGCATCCACCTTCCCCAGAGTCTCGCTGATTGTTGATGCGAGTCCCTCCCCACTTGCCCTGAAGCTTGGGGACCACTAGGTTATAATTTGTGGCATCCGAGCCCTCAGTTCTCCCCCTACTTCCCACAAGATGACGTTCTGGGCCTGCAGGGAGGCTGCCAGCCTGGGCCTGCGTCTGGGCCTCATTCCCCTAGAGGACGTCCGCTCCCAGCCTCCCGCCAGGCCTCCCAGGCCCCAGAGGATGTGTTTCAGTTAAGCGGCCCCTGGCTGGGCTTCCCAAGTTCCAGTTACAGGTAATTCCAGAGACTGGCCTAGCCTGGGAACACGAGGGGATTAGTGGGTGTACTGGGCGTGGGGGGGGGGGGGGGGGGGGGGGGGGGCCGGACGTGGAGCCACCTGCTGACCTGAGCCAGGGAGCCGAGCCCATACCGAGGTGGGGCAGCCCCGGGACCTCCGAGGTACCCACACATCCCCTGGCTTGGGGGCCTTGGGCCCCTGGTGGGAAAAGCTGGGGGACCAGAGTGGGACAGAGGAGCTCATGTGGGGCAGGGGTCCTGTCCGGAGCCACCATCGGGATAGCGCCCCGTTTGAGCCTGGCCCTGTGGGGACTCCGGGGAGGGTGGGCCGGGGCTGGGAGGGGCCGTGCCTGCCCGGGTGCTGAGGCATCCTGAGGAGGGCGGCTTTACCGAGGGCTCAATAAAAAGATAACCTACAGATAGCCTGAGTCAATATTCCCAGTGGCCCCTCCGGAGCCCCCACACCTGTTTTCTTGATAAACTGGCAAACGCCCCACCCTCCCTTCGCCCCTCCCCTGCTCTCCCCGCCTCTGCCGCTCCTGCTGGGCCATATAAGGTCCGGACCCCTGCCCCAGTTGCTCTCCCTCCCTCCCTTCTGAGCCACCATGGGGCTGCCGCTCGCCCTCCTGGTGGCCGTGGGCCTGGCCCTGAGCTCCCCCGGGGCCGCAGAGCTCCAGAGAGGTGAGAGGTGACAGGAAGGCCAGGGCGGCCCTGAGGAGAGGCTCTACCTGGGAGTAGTGACCCTCCCTGCCCAGCCTTTGGGGTGCACCACTGGGGTCGGGGGTCCTGCCCACCAAGCCCTGCAGACTTTGGGTACAGGGAAGGAAGGAGGGAGGGTGGTCTTGGGTTCGCGCCGTCCCTTTGATGGCGATCTGGCCAGAGCGTGTGTCTGGAATGCGGTGCCTTCTGGAAACACCTGCGTGTGGCAGGCAGGGGCAGCCAAGAGGGGCCGGCTGCCAGGGGCCCTCAGAGGGCCGAGGCCAAGACGGCCCTTCTGCAGAGTGGGGTGTTGGACACATGATGAAGGGGTCGTTCCAGAAAAGACTGGTGACGTAGGCAGGGGACGTCTCCATCTGACGCGGGTTGGGGGAAAAAGCCCCCGGAGGGGAGCTGGCCTTGAATATTCAGATGCGATGTGGGCACCGCCTGAGGGTGCACGGACTCCGGCCATGACAGGGCAGGGGACCCCGGGCTGGGCGGACAGGGTACGTGGGCTTCTGGAAAGCCCTTCTGTCCCCACTGCCTGCCTGGCAGATCCCATGCCAGGCTGGGACGTGAGGGTGTGGCAGCTGGAGATGTCCTTTCGGGCGGCTGAGACCCCCCGGGCGGGGTGACCAGGGTCCAGCAGGGGCCACTCCAGTAGGACAGCCTCACGGAGGGCGCTCGGAGGGCAGCTGCTGGGCGGGCCTCGGGATAGGCCTCCTGGGGGCGCAGGCTGCTCACCCCCGCACGCCCCTGCTCCCCCAGAGGGCAGGACCTGGAACCACGGCCACAGCGTCTGCAGCACTTGGGGCGACTTCCACTACAAGACCTTCGACGGCGACGTCTTCCGCTTCCCCGGCCTGTGCGACTACAACTTCGCGTCCGACTGCAGGGGTTCCTACAAGGAGTTCTCGGTGCACCTGAAGCGGGTCTCCGGCCGCAACGGGGGGCGCCCCGGGCTCGAGTACATCCTGCTGACCATCAAGGACGACACCATCTACCTCACCCGCCAGCTGGTTGTAGTGAACGGGGCCATGTGAGTGTGGCTGGGCGGCGGCCCCCCAGTGGGGGAAAGGGGCTCCCTGCCCCTCCCCTGGGGGCCCCAGGCAGCACCCAAGCTCCAGTTACAGAAGGGGGAGCCGGTGGGAGCCCCTCCCGCTCCCAGGCCATTGTCCCCCATTGTCTCTGGAACAATGAGGCTGTAAGCTGCATTCCTGCCCAGCGCCTCCACGGCTCTGTCCTTTGTCTCCCCCAGTCCCCGCAGGCTGGGCACAGACTTGGGGCGAGCTAACACCTGGGCCAGCCCTGGTCAGGGGGTGGGCAGAGCCCGGCTCTGAGGACAGGCCCCTGCGGAAGGGGTGCGGACGGGGAGACAGGCAGGCAAGGGGTAGACGGGGGCTGTGCCGCCGGGGTCCAAGCCGGCCCAGAGGGCGGCCACGCTGTTTGTGCTCCCCACACACCGGCTGGGAGCTGAGGACTCCCACGCGCGGCCTCAGGCCTTCCTGTCCCCTGGGATGGAGGGATGGCGGAGGGCCTGCCGTGGTGGGCGGCTCGGTGGGCTGGCGAGTGAGTCCCGCCCCGCACCCCTGCCCCAGGGTCAGCATGCCGCACTACAGCTCTGGGCTGCTCATCGAGAAGAATGATGCCTACACCAAGGTCTACTCCCGTGTGGGACTCACCCTCATGTGGAACCGCGAGGACTCACTCATGGTGGGTGCGGCCCCTCCTGGGGCCTGGGGCCCGGTGCCTCCTGCAGGCCTCTGGGGTCCAAGGGGAGCGCAGGCGCCCGGGGCCCAACCCTTGTCACGGTGGGTTCTGTGTGGGCCGGCAGCGCTGTGGGGGAGCTCGGGTGGGGCCGTGCAGCCCTCCCAGGGTGGGGAACCTCAGGGAGAGGGGAGCTGGGCTCGCCCTTACCCCGCCCAAGCCCCTCCTGGTCCTCGGTAACCCCTGCCTCCAGCACCGCCCGGCTGACTCCAGCCCTCCCACCGTGCCCAGTGCCACTCGGAGGCGATGCTGAGGCCAGCCTGGCCGTGGGAGGCTCACCCCGGCCGCCTTGGCTGTGGTCCTGCTGGGCCCTGGCCCCTCACCCACCCCTCTTCCCCCAACAGCTGGAGCTGGACAGAAAGTTCCGGAACCACACGTGCGGCCTCTGCGGGGACTACAACGGCCTGCAGACCTACTCCGAGTTCCTGTCCGACGGTGAGGGCCTCCTCCGGGGCCTGGCGGGGGCAGTGGGGGTGGCGGGTGTGGAGGATCTGGGCGCCCCCGGCTGACGGCCCCCCATGCCCCCAGGCGTGCTCTTCAGTGCCATTGAGTTCGGGAACCTGCAGAAGGTCCATAAGCCCGAGGTGGTGTGCGACGACCCTGAGGAGGGGCCGGCCCCAGAGTCCTGCTCCGAGCACGTGAGTCAGGGCCAGGGCGGGGGGGGGGGGTGCCATGGGTGTTGCGGGAAGGGGTGGGCGTGGGCCCTCACTGAGCCCCGCTCCACGTGTCTGTAGCGCGCCGAGTGCGAGGAGCTGCTGGCGGCCGCGGCCTTCGAGGACTGCGAGGGGCTGGTGCCGCGGCTGCCGTTCGTGCAGGCCTGCATGCAGGACCGCTGCCGCTGCCCGCACGGCCCCTCCTGCGCCTGCAGCACCCTGGCCGAGTTCTCCCGCCAGTGCTCCCACGCCGGCGGCCGGCCCGGCAACTGGAGGACCGCCGAGTTCTGCCGTAAGGTCCACGGGGTGGCCGGCATGGCCGGGGAGGCGGGCGCCCCTGGGGCCCTAAGTGGGGTGCTATCAGGGGGACGTCCTGCTCCGCTGTCCGCCGCACTCCCCTACCCTGGGCGTGTGTGCCCGCTCAGGGACCTGCCCTTGCCCTTCTAGCCAAGAGCTGCCCCGGGAACATGGTTTACCTGGAGAGCGGCTCGCCCTGCGTGGACACCTGCTCCCACCTGGAGAGCAGCCGCCTGTGCGAGGAGCACCGCATGGATGGCTGTTTCTGCCCGGAAGGTGTGTGCCCCGGAGGCCTTGGGACGGGCTTGCGGGTGGGGGCGTGGCCCCGATGTGGCCCCCTGAGGCCGGTGCACCCTGGAACCGGGCTGGGGGGGCCGGCCACAGCGCCAGAAGTGAGGTGCAATGCCCCCCTCCCTGGCAAGTGTGGAAGACCCCCTCCCCCTAAACGCATGCCGTGGTGGCTTTGGGGAGTCTGGGCGGGGCTCCTTCCTGGTCATCGCCTGGAGGTCCCCCGGAAGGCGGTCCGGAGGCCAGGCTCCTGCAGCACGGGGAGGGGCCACAGGTGTTACCCAAAGGAGCAGGAGCAGGAGGAGGCGCGGCTGGGGCCCCACCTCGGGGGTCGCCCTACCTTTCACACACCAGCCCAGGGCTCTGGCCCCACCGGTGGGAGTCCCAGTGTGGGGATTCTGGGCTTCCTGAGGCCGGCCAAGTGTAACATCGCGTCCCACACCGTCCAGGCACCGTGTATGATGACATCGCAGGCAGTGGCTGCATCCCCGTGAGCCGCTGCCACTGCAGACTCCACGGGCACCTGTACTCGCCCGGCCAGCAGCTCAGCAGTGACTGCGAGGAGTGGTGGGTCTGGGGCCCGGGGGCCTGGGGGGCAGGGCTGCGGGGCTGGGGGCAGGGCTGGTGGTCTGAGGGGCTGGGGGGCAGCGCTGAGCCTGCTGTGTGTCCCACTGCCCACAGCGTCTGCACCGCCGGCCGCTGGGTGTGCAAAGACTTGCCGTGCCCGGGCACCTGTGCCCTGGAGGGCGGCTCCCACATCACCACCTTTGACGGGAAGAGGTACACCTTCCACGGGGACTGCTACTACGTGCTGATCAAGGTAGCTGGCCGGGTGGCGGGTGGGTGGGCTGAGGTGGGGCTCGGCCTCGCATCGGGCTCCCTACCAGTCACTGCCATCGCCCCGTGCCCGGCAGGGCGACCACAAGGACTCCTACGCCCTCCTGGGTGAGCTGGCCCCCTGCGGCTCCACGGACAAGCAGACCTGCCTGAAGACGGTGGTTTTGTTGGCGGACGACAGGAAGAACGTGGGTGCCCCCACCCCCTCCTGGCACCCCAGGGTCCCCCAGGGCCCCCCAGACCCTCTCAGCGCAGCCGTCCCCCCGCCCTCCTGCAGGTCGTGGCCTTCCAGTTGGACGGCGGCGTGCTGCTGAACGGGCAGCCGGTGAACCTGCCCCACGTGACCGGTGAGTCCCTCCCCGGGAGCGCCTGGCGGGTCGGGGGCTGCGGGCGGGAGGGCGGCCCCGAAGCTCCAGAGCCCCCGCTGACTGGCCGCGACGCCCCTGTCCCGCAGCCAGCCTCTCTGTCTTCCGGCCGTCCTCCCGCCACCTCATGGTGAGCACCGCTGCGGGTCTCAGGCTGCAGGTGCAGCTGGAGCCCGTCATGCAGCTCTTCGTGACGCTGGACCGGGCCGCGCAGGGGCGCGTGCAGGGTAAGCGTCGCGCTCGGCTGGCCCCCCTCAGAGGCCCTGCTCAGGGACCGCCTCCCCGTCCCCTGCCCCTTCCCAACCCTGTGCTGCCCCTCAGGCCTCTGCGGGAACTTCAACGGCCTGGAAGGGGACGACTTTAGGACGGCCGGCGGGCTGGTGGAGGCCACGGGGGCCGGCTTCGCCAACACCTGGAAGGCCCAGTCGAGCTGCCGTGACAAGCTGGACTGGCTCGACGACCCCTGCTCCCTCAACATCGAGAGCGGTGAGGCTCGGCCTTGTGGGGCGTGCGGCAGGGGTGGGGGTGGGTGGAGGCCGGTGGCCAGCCCGCGCACCCGCTGCCTTCTGCCACGTGGCTGGTTTATGGTGGCCCCCAGTGGCTGCCCGCCATGTCACCCACCAGGCCAGGGGAGGTCGCGGGAGGGGAGGTGGTGGGGACCCCACCTTCTGAGGGGGGTGGTCTTGCACTGGAGGGAGGGGCCCGGGTGACCAGGCAGCTGGGCTCAGGGGATGAGCCGGAGGGGACCGCCCCTGCTAAGGTCCTGACACCCCTCCAGCCAACTACGCTGAGCACTGGTGCTCCCTGCTGAAGAAGACGGAGACCCCCTTTGGCAGATGCCACTCGGCCGTGGACCCCTCAGACTATTACAAGGTGTGTGGGCCCCGCACACAGACCACTCACCACCGGATCCGGGCCCGCACAGTGTGCTGTGTGCCCCGGGCTGGGCCTGACCCCAGCCTGCAAGGTTTCTGCTGGGAGTGCTGAACATGTTTGAGTAAGCACACGTGTGTGTGTGCATGCGTGTGTCTGCCTGTCACACAGGAATGTCTGTGTGTAAATGTGTACAGGTGTCACCTGTGCGTGCATTTGTGGGTGTGTGCACGCGGTATCTGTGTGTGCACACCTGTGTGCACGTGTGTCTGTGTGTGCACGCGGGGTCCTGTGTGTGTGCACGCCTGTGTGTGCAGGTGGCTGTGTGTGCACACAAGGGTGTGCCCACCTGCTTCCCCCCATCACGGCCTGCCTCCTTCGCCCCCAGAGGTGCAAATATGACGCGTGTAACTGCCAAAACAGTGAGGGCTGCATGTGTGCCGCTCTGTCCTCCTATGCCCGCGCCTGTGCCGCCAAGGGTGTTCTGCTGTGGGGCTGGCGGGAACAAGTCTGCAGTGAGTGCCGTCCCTGGAGGCATCCGGGTGCCCTGGGGCAGGAGGGGTTGGCCCACTGCTCTCTTCGTGAGGGGCTCCCTGGGGGTGGGGACTTCCGGGGACCCTCGTGGGCCCCTTGGCTGGACAGGCCTCTGCCTCTCCCGGACGGGAGTGGGGTGCTCGGGAGTGGCCGGCAGGGAAGGGAGCTGAGGTCACCCCTCCGCGCCTCACGCCGCCCCTCCCATCTCTGCAGACGAGGACGTGGGCTCTTGCCCCAACTCCCAGGTGTTCTTGTACAACCTGACCACCTGCCAGCCCACCTGCCGCTCGCTCTCCGAGGCCGACGCGCACTGCCCGCAGGGCTTTGCACCCGTGGATGGCTGCGGCTGCCCCGACGACACCTTCCTGGATGAGAAGGGCCGCTGTGTGCCCCTGGCCGAGTGCTCCTGCTACCACCATGGCCTCTACCTGGAGGCCGGGGAGGTGGTGCTGAGGCAGGAGGAGCGCTGGTAGGTGGCCCGGGCTGGGAGGGGGAGGGCCCACGTCCTCGCGCCACTGGCGTGTCCCCCCCCCCTCCGTCCCCTGCCCGCCAGGAGCCAGGCCCGCTCACCTCCGCCCTGTCCCCTCAGCGTCTGCCGGAACGGGAGACTGCACTGCAGGCAGGTCAGGCTGCTTGGCCAGAGTAAGTAGGCGCCGCCCTGCACCCTGTCCTCGCAGCCCCGCCCCCACCCCAACTTCCATTGAGCTGAGGTGGCCCCTCTGTCCCCCAGGCTGCTCGGCCCCAAAGATCTACGTGGACTGCAGCAACCTGACAGCCCTGACCGTCCAGAGCTCGCAGCCCACCAGCTGCCAGACGCGGGCTGCCGGCCACGTGTGTGCGGGGGCCCGCCATGGGGGAGGGCGGACGCAGGCTTCCTCACTGGCCCTGGGGTCTGGCTGCCGGGTCCCGTACATGCATGGGCCTCCTCGGCCCTCCCCGTCCCAGGGGTCCCCGCCCAGCCCATGGAGGGCTCCGGGCCGTGTGGGGACCCCTGGCCGGCAGCCCGCGCCTATCTCCCGGGCCAGGGGTGAGCCCGAGAGAGAGGGGACAGAGGTCGGGTGGGCAAGGGACAAAGGGGTGTCTGCATTGCGAGAAGAGGGGGCGGCTCCAGGAGAGGCCGGCTTGGCCATCGGGGCCTGAAGCCTACTGTCCCGGCCCTGCAGTATCAGACAGAGTGTGTCAGCGGCTGTGTCTGCCCGGAGGGGCTGTTGGATGATGGCCGTGGCGGCTGCGTCAAGAAGGACGAGTGCCCGTGTGTGCACAACAAGCACCTGTACTCCCCCGGGGACAAGGTCAAGGTGGACTGCAATACCTGGTACGTGGTCTGGCCTGGCGGGAGTGTGTGGTGGGGGCGCAGGCGGGCATGGTGCACACAGACGAGGGCGTGGATGCCGGGCTCGTGCGCTGCTGGTGGGGTCATTCCCGTGGCGCCGTGCAGCCAGGCCGCCCTCTGAGCAGCGGGGAGGACCTGGGCCCCTGCGGCCCCTCCAGGCCCCCTTCCCGCTCTCCTCAGCACCTGCCAGCGAGGGCGCTGGGCGTGCACCGAGTCCCTGTGCCACGGCTCCTGCTCCATCTACGGGAGTGGCCACTACGCCACCTTCGACGGGAAGTACTACAATTTCAATGGGCGCTGCTCCTACGTGGTGGCTCAGGTGAGGCCCAGTCCAGCCCGGCCCCCGTCCCGTGGCCCCGCACCGTACTCTGAGCCGCCATCAGCCCAGCGAGGGGGCCCCGTCGGAGGGGGCGCAGTTGGGGCCCAGCCCTGCCTCCGACCTCCCATTCTTTGACCCTCTCGCGCCGCACGGGGAGCGAGTGGCTTGTGCATGGGGTTAAGGGCCCTCGCCTCGTGGTTACCCCTGTTACCGAGGAGGGCTGCGTCTGTGTGGAGCCCAGGTGGGGTGGGGCCGGGGGGCACCGGTGGCCTGGCCGGTCTGGCTCACGTCCTCTGTGGGCCCCCAGGACTACTGCGGCCAGAACTCTTCCTCGGGCTCCTTCAGCATCATGACTGAGAATGTCCCCTGTGGCACCACGGGTGTCACCTGCTCCAAGGCCATCAAAATCTTCTTGGGGGTGAGTGCCGCCAGACCCTGGGGAACGCGTGAGCCCTCGTGGCTCCTTGGACGCGGCCAGTGACAGGGCCTCTCCCCTGGGCATAGAGGACGGAGCTGAAGCTGGAGGACAAGCACTGCCTGGTGATTCAGCGGGACACGGGCCACCACGTGGCCTACACCACGCGGAAGGTGGGCCAGTACCTGGTGGTGGAGGCCAGCATTGGCGTCATCGTCATCTGGGACAAGAAGACCACCATCTTCATCAAGCTGGCCCCGTCCTACAAGGTGCGCGGCAGCCGTCACCTGCCCGCCCCCCGCCCCCCCGATTCCCCCAGTCCCCCACCCTCTCCCACCCAGTCCCCCCATCCCCCCAGCCCGCTCCCGGAGCACCCCCAGCCCCCCAGTCCCACTGCTCTCTGTCTCTGCAGGGCCGGGTGTGTGGGCTGTGCGGGAACTTTGACCAGCGCTCCAGCAACGACTTCACCACGAGGGACCACATGGTGGTGGACAGCGAGATAGACTTCGGGAACAGCTGGAAGGCCTCCCCCACCTGTCCGGACGTGAGCGTCACCCTGGATCCCTGCACCCGGAACCCGCACCGCCTCTCCTGGGCCAAAAAGCAATGCAGCATCATCACGAGCTCGGTCTTCAGTGTCTGTCACAGCAAGGTGGGGGGCTGGGCCTGGGGCCGGGGCCGGGCGGACTGAGGGCAGGGCCGGACCTGGGGGCAGGCCCAGGGCACACAGAGCCTTCTCCCGCAGGTGGACTCCAAGCCCTTCTACGAGGCCTGCGTCTACGACTCCTGCTCCTGCGACAAGGGCGGGGACTGTGAATGCTTCTGCTCGGCCGTGGCCGCCTACGCTCAGGAGTGTACTAAGGAGGAGGCCTGCGTGTTCTGGAGGACACCGGACCTGTGCCGTGAGTGTCCGCCTGTCCTGGAGCGGGGGGGCTGTGCTGTGTGGGGACAGCAGTTCTCACTCATGAAGTGATGGGTTATCGGGGTCTCCTTGCCGCCTCCCTGGCCCCAGGGGCCGAGTGTCGCTTCTCAGGGGCTGTGCTGGCCTGGCCTCGGCCCTCCCTGAGTCTGACCCCCACCCCCGCCCCTGCAGCCATATTCTGTGACTACTACAACCCCCCAGACAAGTGTGAGTGGCACTATGAGCCCTGTGGGAACCGCAGCTTCGAGACCTGCAGGACCGTCAACGGCATTCACTCCAACATCTCCTTGTCCTACCTGGAGGGTAAGCGGGCCTTGGCGCGGAGGGACGCTGTCCCCATGCGGCTGGGGACACGCGGTCCAGGTGGACCAGGCCCACCGTGCTGCAGAGTGTGTCCCACGAGCTTAGAGAGGCAGAAAGAATCCGGGAGTGGACGGGCCACCAGGAAGCTGCGGATCAGCTGAAGACAGGGTGTCTCGGACTCCAGGTCTGGTAGACTCTGCAGGGCCTTGGAGCTGAGAACCAGGGGCATGAGGGGGTGAGCCTGCTCTGGGGAGGGAGCACCCTATCCCACGGGAGGAATGAGGCTGGGACGGGGTGCTGGCTGTCCCTTTGGCCATCTGGCAGTGTGTAGGGCCCAGTGTGTGGGGGTCCGGTCCCCTGTCCTTTTATTCCCTGGCCTTCCCGGAGGAGCATCCTGGAGAGAAGGACCTGCCGTGGTGGGGACAATGGGTGGGATCTGGTGGCCGTGGGATCCTCTGCCATGGTCCAAGCCCCATGCCCCGTGTCCTGTGCCTGCCAGGCTGCTACCCCCGGTGCCCGGAGGACAGGCCCATCTACGACGAGGACCTGAAGCAGTGCGTCACGGAGGACCAATGTGGCTGCTATGTCGGGGACACCCGCTACCCACCTGGAGCACCTGTTCCCAGCGAGGAGGACTGCCAGTCTTGGTACCCGAGCTCAGCCCGCTGGGGTCCGGGGGTGCGCCAGACGCGCGTGCGCACGCACAGCCACACGCACGCGCACACACACGGGCCGACACAGAGCCCCACGGGCACACTGTGGGAGCCGGGCGAGCTCCCATCTGCAGGCAGAGGACCTGGGGCTGGGCCTGGGGTGCTGAGGGTGGGAGGCGGAGGTCGGGAGGCCAGGAAGGGCACGTCCTCGTGCTCTGCAGCTCGATTCTTGCTTTCCAGCGTGTGTACCAATGCCTCAAAAGTCGTCTGCCAGCCAGAAGAAGGTGAGCTGCCCTCCGTGTCTACCCCAGCGCAGCGGCCCCCAGGAGAGCCCCCAGGCTGCCTGCTCTGGACTCTGGGGGCAGGGCTCCGTCTCGCCCTCCCTGGGCCTGGGGCTCCCCAGGGGCCTTTCCCGGCTCAGAGCTGGCTCTGACTCGCAGCAGCCTCCCCACACTTGTGATGGCAGCTGAGGCCACCTCTGTGCTGTTCGGCTTCTGTGCCCTGATGGGGGGCCCTGTCGGTGGAGTACCGAGGGGGCATTGGTCTGGCATTTGTGGGGGCTAAGGGATGCCTGGGGGGTTCTTGACAGTCTCTGTCCTTTTCCTGCCACGTTGACCTTGGTCTCTGTCCTGCTCTCCAGGGAAGATTCTCAACTACACCCAGGACGGCTTCTTCTGCTACTGGGAGATCTGTGGCCCCAACGGGACGGTGGAGAGACACTTCAACATCTGTGTATCCACCACCTCCCGGCCGCCTTCCACCACGATCCCAGTCACCTCCAGCAGCCCCCTCACCACCACCACCACCCCGACTCCCACCCCCTCCCTGACCCCCAGTACAGGTAAGGCCCCAGGGCCATGCATCCCTCACCCCTAGAGCACCTGCCTTGCCCTGAGCCCAGCGGAAGCGGCCCTTCTAGGGGCCAAGAGGGGCGCAGGGGGACGGGTCGCAGTGGGCTCTCACCTCTGCTTATGGGCTGGAGGTGACAATGATGGGCGTCTCAGCTCAGGGGGTGTTCCTGGGCCCCTGGCCTTTCACCTTAAGATGCCAGCCGGCATCACAGCCACACCCCCGAGCCCAGACTGCAGGGAAGGACCTGGGGACACTTCCTGGACCAGCAGGGGAATACCCCCGAGGCTGTCTCTGAGAAAGCAGACAAATGTCCCAGACTCCCATGCACTCAGTCTTGCTGAGGCGGCAGCCACCGCCGGACAAGCCACCGGGGCATGGAAAGAGGAAAGAGGAGGAAAGAGGAAGTTGTAAAAATGAAAAAGATTTTTAAACATGTCCAACTAGCTGCTGACAGGCTTCTTTCCCTCCCCGTTCTTCTGTAGGTCTGACCTCCACCCCAGAAACTCCAGGTAGGTCCTAGGCAGCCCCCATGCCGGGTGGGCCAGGAGGAAAAGGGAACCTTCCGGGAGACCAGCTGTGGGGCTGGGTGGCTGGTGCCACTCCCTTGTGCAGAGACGGTGCCCTCAGCGGTCCCCGGGCTTAGCGCTGGGAGCAGACTGGCACTGGGTGAGAGCACTGTCGGGCAGGAGTCCAGACCAGGCCCCTTCCCATGGGCCTCCTCACCACAATGGGTGACTCTTCCTGGATTTACTTTTTTTGGGCACTGAGGCCGGGGCCTGTCACCCAGGTGTGGCACGAGCGGCTCTTCTGTCTCTGGGGCTCAGTGTTCAGCTGCAGGACCATGTCCGGCTCTATACTCTCTAAGCTGGCTCTTTGGCCATGATAGCAAGGGCGGTCATGGAGACTCTGACTCCTCTGAGTCCCAGGGAGCTCCCCGGAAGCGGCGTCCAGGGTGGGGATCAATCTTGGGTCTTCCTTCCTTAGGGACATGCTGTTTCTGGTCCGACTGGATCAACAAGAACCACCCCAGTACGCACAGCAGCGGTGGCGACAGGGAGACCTTTGACGGCGTCTGTAGGGCCCCTGAGGACATCGAGTGCAGGCTGGCTGTGGAGCCCCACCTCAGCTGGGAGCAGGCGGGCCAGAAGGCGCAGTGCAATGTCACCTTCGGGTTCGTTTGCTACAATGAAGACCAGTTTGGAAACGGGCCATTTGAGGTCTGTTATGACTATGAGATTCGCGTCAATTGCTGTGTGCCGATGGATGAGTGTCCCCTGTCCACGACCACGGTCCCCCCGCCCACCACAACCACCACTACCTCCACACCTATGCCAGAACCCCCGACTACCACCACCGCTACCACCACAACCACGCTGACCCCCACGTCCACCCCCACGCCCACCCCCACGCGGACCCCCACGCCCACCACCACGCCGACCACCACGCCCACCACCACGCCGACCACCACGCCGACCACCACGCCCACCACCACAACGACCACCACGCCGACCACCACGCCCACCACC